CGTGTCAGTATCCCAAAAGATATAATAATAATAATAATAATAATCCTTGCATTTGATATAGCGCTTTTCACGTCGGGAGGACGTCCCAAAGCGCTTCACAGAACACACTGTAAAGTGAATTGACTGTATATTTGTGGGCGAACGCGGCGGCCAATTGCGCACAGCAATGTCCCACAAACAGTCGTAGATTGAAAATGACCAATTTTATTATTGTTTTTTGTTTTTTTGGAGGGATTATTATTAGGCTCTGTGTGGAGTAAGGAAACTTGCCCAAGGTTTCGCCCTCTGCCTGGAATTGAACTCAGGTCTCTCACTTGCAAAGCGAGTGCTCTAACCACTGAGCTACAGGACTCCAAAAGATAAATATTTTAAAAACTTGTTGACTCAATCCACAACTATTTGTGGGGACGCTGCTGTGCGCAATTGGCTGCTGCGTTTCTCCCACAAAATACACAGTCTATCGGTTTACAGTATATTCTGCGAAGCGCTTTGAGACATCTCGAAGACGTGATAAGGCACTGTATCAAATGCCGGGAGTATTTATTATAAGAACGTGATGAACATCACTGATTTTTTCCTATTAACAAAGAGTTGTGGACAAAGCTTTTGTTTAAGAGGCCAGCAATGAGGGAGTTAATACTTACAAAAATCCGAAGTTACTTGGTAGTTGAATTCTTTGGGTGTTAATCCCACCTTCCTGGAAAAAACACTCCCATTGTGAGTATTTCACACCACTCAATTTATCATCACTTCTGTTACTTTTCTCAAATCTCCTCCAATACCAAAACTAGGTGCCAAGTCGTTGTGCCAAACAGCCCTCGAAACAGAAACACATCAATCTGATTGTTCTACTAGTGCCTCACACGCCAGCTCACGCTTTGATCGCAGATCTCAGAGCAAGATTAATACTTTGCTAATCGGCGGAGGCGAGCGCGTAGCTCAGAGCATTAGACTCTCTGAACCGACATAAACTCTCACTTCAACACATATCACGGGGGACTTCAAGAATGATCTGTCTCCATCGCGTGCAAGGCAGCCACACAACCCAATCCAAGTCAACGCTAGTTTATTATCCGCTTTGCCACCTCTTTATAAATATAAATAGCAATTTGTAAATATAAATTTGGGCACAATTGGCTGCCGCGTTTCGCCCACAAAATATACAGTCTGGTGTGAAGGGCGCTATATAAATGCAAGTTGTTGTTCTTGTTGTTGTTGAGAATTTAGCACCATGATTTCATGATGATGATGAGACAATGAGAGGTTTGTGTCTGTCGTGTTGCAATTAAATGGGAATCCCACTGGTCAGATCTCATTTGTTGGTAACCCAGGAACTCTAAATGTAATTATTTGACATTGACCAGCAAAGGCTAGACAGTAATTTGTCATGACCTATCATTCCCCTTTAAATTAAAACATCAATGATTAGAAGTGTCCACTGGCCTTTCATTAACCCTTTTAGTAATGGATTTTCTCTGACGCATCCAGATCGCAGCGCAGATAATGATAAGAGGTTTTCTGTAATCACCAAATGGTAGATTCTATCTCTGAAAAAGAGCGAGGTGGGGGTGGAGGAACTCCAGGATAGAGTTCAGCATAGCTTGCTATTCATAGCGCTGTCTAGCAAGCTTTCCCGCTGCTTGTCCAGCTAGGACCACCCTCCCCGTTAGTTAGGGCTTTGGCTGCAGGGTTACCAGGAGCTGAGGGGGAGGATTCACTGCCCCCAGTGACTGGTCGGCCCTTCCAGGTCCTGCTGATGAGCCGGGCCGGGCTGCGCTGCCATCAGCAGTGAGTGCCCCGGGACACTGCGGCCCCTCCTGATATCCGTTTACTCCAGAGAGAGAGAAAAATTCAGCAGATACTCAGTGCCTCACAGAGGCCAGTCATTAATTAACATGCTCTGAAACTACATTCTCCGACGTGACTGACTGACTGACTGGGTTTGCTTCGGGCACCCTCATTACCACACAGCTCATTGTAAGCCGCCCTCTCCACCCAAGTATAGAGTACACTGTTACAACACCATTCTGCTGATCTCACGAAGATGGCATTAGAGAGGGAGGAAGAGAGAGGGCGAGAGCGAGAGAATGGTACTGCACTGTGGCTCACAGCGGCATTGAAACCAAGATCCAACCATAACATTCCAGTTCCCCTGAACATAAATTATAGGATTGTATGAAAATGATACTATTTTAGCTGACGACACTGGGATTCAGTTTCCCATTCCTGAAGACTTATTTTCCAATCCCTGTGAACGTAAAATTCCCGTTGAAATTCTGACTTTCCTTGGGTTCTTATTCCTGTGTTTCAGGTGGGGTGGGGGGGGGAACGAACATAGGAACAGGAGGAGGCCATTCAGCCCCTCGAGCCTGTTCCGACATTGTATTAGATCATGGCTGATCTGTACCTCGACTCTAATTCCCCGTCCTTGCCCCGTATCCCTTGACACTCTGACCTAACAGACATCTATTCACCTCAGTCTTGAAAATGTGAATGGATCCGATCCTAATCCACAGCCTTTTGCGAGTGAGGGTTTGGGTGTGGGGTGGGGGTGTGGGTGGGGGTGCGGGGTGGGGGGGGTGGGGGTAGGACACACACACCCACACACATTGCCAGCACTCAGCAATGGGAAATCACTGCAACATAGCAATGTGTGTGTGTTTGCCTTACTGCAAACTGCATTCATTTTGAACCTTGTTTTTTACCCGATATCGTCCAACACTCGGGAAATGATGTCCTTGAGCGGAATTTACCCGGGTACATCTCACCCACAAAATACACGGTCACTACACTTTATTCTGTGGAGCACTTCGAGACGTCTCGAAGACACGATGCACCAAATACAAGGATTATTATTATTATCATCATCAGTGCTATCAGTGTGAGATTATTACCCATTTTTTAACCTTTAAGTCAGCGTTGACACATCTCACTCATGGCAAGTCTTCGTACAGTACTCCGAGCATCTAAACAGTAACGCAATCTCTCTCCCTCCCTCTCTCCATCTCTCTCTCCCTCTCTCCATCTCTCTCTCCATCCCTCCATCTCTCCATCTCTCTCTCCATCTCTCCCTCTCTCCCTCCCTCTCTCCGTCTCTCTCTCCCTCTCTCCATCTCTCTCTCCATCTCTCCATCTCTCTCTCTCCATCTCTCCATCTCTCTCTCCATCTCTCCCTCTCTCCATCTCTCTCTCCCTCTCTCCCTCTCTCCATCTCTCTCTCTCTCCATCTCTCTATCTCTCCATCTCTCCATCTCTCCATCTCTCTATCTCTCCATCTCCATCTCTCTCTCTCTATCTCTCTTTCCGACCACCAGGACATCGCAATGATCAGTCAAAACTTAAAACAATTTTTTTCCCCCAAAAAGCACCTCAATGAGCGCGTGAATCAATGAGCTCTGAAAGTCATTCTCACTGTAACGTGGGGACGAGTCGGTACAGAAACACAGCGCGAGACACCGGAGACACCGGAGAGACACCGGAGACACACCGGAGAGACACCGGAGACACCGGAGAGACACCGGAGAGACACCGGAGACACCGGAGACACACCGGAGAGACACCGGAGACACCGGAGACACACCGGAGAGACACCGGAGAGACACCGGAGACACACCGGAGAGACCGGAGAGACACCGGAGAGACCGGAGAGACACCGGAGACACACCGGAGAGACACCGGAGACACCGGAGACACACCGGAGACACACCGGAGAGACCGGAGAGACACCGGAGAGACCGGAGAGACACCGGAGAGACACCGGAGACACACCGGAGACACCGGAGACACACCGGAGAGACCGGAGAGACACCGGAGACACCGGAGGCCGTTTGCTCCACATGAACCTGAACTGACAGAATGTACCTGTGATTTGGGTCTCTTGGTTCATAGCGGCTGTGAGTGTGAGTGTAAGTGTGAGAGTGTGTGAGTGTGAGTGTGAGGGAGAGGCACAGAAACAACTACAGCCCCTGTGAGTGTGAGAGTGAGTGTGAGAGTGTGTGAGTGAGAGTGTGAGTGAGAGTGTGAGAGTGAGAGTGAGTGTGTGTGAGTGAGAGTGTGAGTGTGAGAATGAGTGTGAGAGTGTGTGAGAGTGAGTGTGAGAGTGTGTGTGAGTGTGAGTGTGAGAGTGAGTGTGAGAGTGTGTGTGAGAGTGAGTGTGAGAGTGTGTGTGAGTGTGAGTGTGTGTGAGAGTGAGAGAGAGTGTGAGTGAGAGTGAGTGTGAGAGTGTGTGTGAGTGTGAGAGTGTGTGAGAGTGAGTGTGAGTGAGTGTGAGTGTGTGTGAGTGAGAGTGTGAGTGTGTGTGAGAGTGAGAGTGTGAGTGTGTGTGAGAGTGAGAGTGTGAGTGTGTGTGAGAGTGAGTGTGAGTGTGTGTGAGAGTGAGTGTGAGTGTGTGTGAGAGTGAGAGTGTGAGTGTGTGTGAGAGTGAGTGTGAGTGTGAGAGTGAGAGACCGAAACACACACTGCTCCAGCGCCAGAGTACGAGACACAGACACTGTGTACCCCGCGTGTGAGTGTATGTCAGTGTATGAGTGAGAGAGTCCCAGTCCCAGTGCTGCCCAGTGCCAGTGCACCTGTACCAGTCCCAGTCCCAGTGCCCAGTGTACCAGTCCCAGTGCCCAGTCCCAGTGCCCAGTGTACCAGTCCCAGTGCCCAGTGTACCTGTACCAGTCCCAGTCCCAGTGCCCAGTGTACCAGTCCCAGTGCCCAGTCCCAGTGCCAGTGTACCTGTACCAGTCCCAGTGCCCAGTCCCAGTGCCCAGTCCCAGTGCCAGTGTACCTGTACCAGTCCCAGTGCCCAGTCCCAGTGCCAGTGTACCAGTCCCAGTGCCCAGTGCCAGTGTACCTGTACCAGTCCCAGTGCCCAGTGCCAGTGTACCTGTACCAGTCCCAGTGCCCAGTGCCAGTGTACCTGTACCAGTCCCAGTGCCCAGTGCCAGTGTACCAGTCCCAGTGCCCAGTGCCAGTGTACCAGTCCCAGTGCCCAGTGCCCAGTGCCAGTGTACCTGTACCAGTCGAGTCCTCTCTCGTAATTCCTATCGAAGAAGTGCGGTTCAGCTCCGAGAGCTCTGACGTCCGGATGGATCCTCAGGAACTCGAGCAGTGCCCGAGTGCCGCCCTTCTTCACACCGATGATGATCGCTTGTGGGAACTTCTTACTACCGAAGCTGCTCAACACCGAGAGGTTCCCGCCCGGGGTGGGGGTGGGGGTGGGGGGGCGCCTGGGGGGCGAGGGGTCCTCCTGCCCGTCCCCGGGGCTGCTGTCCCCGAGCCCGGCTCCCGGGGCAGCCTGAGCCGGAGTGGCGCGGGGCGGGAGCTGGTGCTGGACCTGGACCTGGTGCTGGAGGGGTTGGTCCCGGACCTGGACCTGGTGCTGGAGGGGTTGGTGCTGGACCTGGACCTGGTGCTGGAGGGGTTGGTGCTGGACCTGGTGCTGGAGCTCCTGGTCCTGGGGTTGTCTCCAGTCGCGGTGGTCCTCCTGCCCCGAGGCCGGGCTGAGCAGTGCCGGGGGGCCGCAGCCGCTCAGGCTGTAGATGAAGAAGTAGCTGAAGGCGATGATCATGGTCAGGGCCAGAGGGGCCGCCCTGCCCTGAGCCTTCCCCCTCCCCGGGCACGAGCTACCGCTCCAGACACCGCATCCCATCAGGCGCCCTCCCGCTCAGAGAGTGGCTCACAAACTTCCCCAACATCCTGGATCATCTCCTCCCTCCTCCTCCCTCCTCCTCTCCTCCCTCCTCCTCCTCTCTCCCTCCTCCTCCTCCCTCCCTCTCTCCCTCCTCCTCCCTCCTCCCTCCCTCTCTCTCTCTCCTCCTCCTCCCTCTCCTCCCTCCCTCCTCCCTCCCTCTCCTCCTCCCTCCTCCTCCTCCCTTCCTCCCTCCCTCCTCCTCCTCCCTCCTCTCCCCCTCTCCTCTCCTCTCACACTCCCTCTCTCTCTCCTCCTCCTCTCCTCCTCCTCCCTCCTCCTCTCTCCTCCTCCCTCTCCCTCTCTCTCTCTCCCTCCTCCTCTCCTCCTCCTCCTCCTCCCTCTCTCTCCTCTCCCTCCTCCTCCCTCCTCTCCTCCCTCCTCCCTCCTCCCTCCTCCTCCTCCTCCCTCTCTCTCTCTCCCTCCTCCTCCTCCCTCTCTCTCTCCCTCTCCTCCTCCTCCTCTCTCTCTCCTCTCTCTTCCTCCTCTCCCTCTCCTCTCCCTCCTCCTCCTCCTCCTCTCTCTCTCCTCCTCGTCCCTCCTCCTCCCTCCCTCCCTCTCTCCCTCCCTCTCTTCTCCCTCCCTCCTCCTTCCTCCCTCCTCCCTCCCTCCCTCCCTCTCTCCCTCCTCCCTCCCTCTCTCTCCCTCCTCCCTCCCTCCCTCTCTCCCTCCTCCCTCCCTCTCTCTCTCTCCCTCCCTCCTCCCTCCCTCTCCCCACTCTATTCCTCTATCCTCCTCTCCCTCACTCTATCCCTTTATCTTCTTCTTCCCCACCTTCTCTCCCTCCCTCCCTCTCCTCCTTCTCTTCCTCACTCTATTCCTCTATCTACCCCCTTCTCTCTCTCTATTCCTCTATCCCCTATCCCTCTCTCTCTCTCTCTGCACTGCAAAAGAAAATTACTCTGACAAGTTATTGTCAGTCCACTGGAGCTATTATCCCCCCCCCCCCCCCCCCCCCCCCCTGTCTCTCTCCTCCCCGCCCTTTTTTAAAATATAAGCAATAGGTATATTTCTATTATTTTATTAATAAATACAAAAGCATATAAACGCCCCCTCCCCCCCCTCCCGCCCCCCCCCCCCCCCCTCCCGCCCCCTACAGAAACTCTTCTGCACAACGCAAAGAAGTACAGTTCATCTATTCCCTCATTTCTAGTTCTGTTTGGGATGTGAGTACAGAAAGACTGTGAGTGTCTCTGTCTCTCTGTGTCTCTCTCTGTGTCTGTCTCTGTCTCTCTGTGTCTGTCTCTCTGTCTGTCTCTGTGTCTCTCTGTGTCTGTCTCCCTGTGTCTGTCTCTCTCTGTCTCTCTGTGTCTGTCTCTCTCTGTCTGTGTCTCTGTCTCTCTGTATCTGTCTCTCTATGTCTGTCTCTCTCTGTCTCCCTGTCTCTGTCTCTCTGTGTCTGTCTCTCTGTCTCTCTGTACCTGTCTCTCTGTCTCTGTCTCCCTGTGTCTGTCTCTCTCTGTCTCTCTGTGTCTGTCTCTGTCTCCCTGTGTCTGTCTCTCTCTGTCTCTCTGTCTCTGTCTCTGTCTCCCTGTGTCTGTCTCTCTCTGTCTCTGTCTTCCTGTGTCTGTCTCTCTCTGTCTCTGTCTTCCTGTGTCTGTCTCTCTCTGTCTCTCTGTCTCTGTCTCTCTGTCTCTGTCTTCCTGTGTCTGTCTCTCTCTGTCTCTGTCTCCCTGTGTCTGTCTCTCTCGAGCAAACTATTTCAGTGTTTAATCTGTCCGATTCCAAACGTTGACTGTAGAACATCTCAACTCGTTCAACTTGGACCCCCTCTCTCTGTCTGTCTGTCTGTCTCACAGCTTGCTGGATCCCCCCCCCCCCCTGTCTGTCTGTCTGTCTGTCTGGCTCACAGCTTGCTGGATCCCCCCTCTCTCTGTCTGTCTGTCTGTCTGGCTCACAGCTTGCTGGATCCCCCCTCTGTCTGTCTGTCTGTCTGTCTGTCTGTCTGTCCGACTGTCTGTCTGTCTGTCTGGCTCACAGCTTGCTGGATCCCCCCTCTCTCTGTCTGTCTGTCTGTCTGTCTGTCTGTCTGTCTGGCTCACAGCTTGCTGGATCCCCCCTCTGTCTGTCTGTCTGTCTGTCTGTCTGGCTCACAGCTTGCTGGATCCCCCCTCTCTCTGTCTGTCTGTCTGTCTGGCTCACAGCTTGCTGGATCCCCCCTCTCTCTGTCTGTCTGTCTGTCTGGCTCACAGCTTGCTGGATCCCCCCTCTGTCTGTCTGTCTGTCTGTCTGGCTCACAGCTTGCTGGATCCCCCCTCTGTCTGGCTATTGGGTGATATTTAAAGGTCTTCTAGAATTGTATTCCCTCCCCCCAAAAAAGCAGCAACAGCAGTGCCAAGTACAGCACCTGCTTATCCAGACAGATACCCTCAACACCCCGTGACGACAATAATGATAACAACATCAGTAATAATAATAATACTTGCATTTGATACAGCGCCTTGTCATGTCTTCAAGATGTATCACAGGATATACTGTAAAGTGAGTTGACTGTATATTTTGTGGGTGAAACACAGCAGCCAATTGCGCACAGCAGCGTCCCCCACAAACAGTCATGGATTGAGTGACACAATTATTATTATTTTATTATTATTATTATCGTTCACCCTGCCCGGGAATCGAACTTGGTTTGCTCTAACCATTTTGCTACAGAATTCCAGGTAGGATTCTGATGGCGGATTGATCCCTGCTGGAAAGTGCGTGTGTGTGTGTGTGTGTGTGTGGGCAAAAGGTGAAGACAGGATCTGGTTGGGTTTAATTGACCCCCTGGAGTTTAATACACTCACTGTCTGGGGCTTAAGCACCAGGAATGGACATTTGGAGCCAGAGTTGCTGAGTCACTACCTTCAGGCACCAGTGGGAAGTTTGTATATGTGTGTGTGTGTCTAACTGTGTGTTTGTGCATGTGTTTGTATGTGTGTGTATGTCCGCGTGTGTGTGTGTGTGTGCTGAAAAGATTATTTGATGAACTAATTTAAGGAATATTAAGGGGAAAAATTTAACCCCCAGAATCAGTTGAAAATGATGTGCTGTTCCACTCACACGAGGCTGCTCTACTTTATCTTCCCGCAACAGTACAACAATGACAACTTGCATTCATACAGCGCCCTTCACATATGGTCACCTCCCCACGGGCTCGGCATCGTGCTCCATCACTGTCGAGCGCTCTGGGACGCTATCCTGCGGGAGGGGCACTGTAGGTTCGCAGCGCAATGTTACCACAGCTGACAACAGGTAGCAGTGAGCCAAGGGTGACTTTGATAAACTCCTCCAACATCCATCTCGCGGGTTTCTTTTCTTGATATCATCAGAACCCCTGGATTGTGTTACTGTTTCGGCCGGTTTTGTATCTCACTCCCCAGCAGCTGTTAACCAATATATATTACACTGCACAGACCTCTGTGTGTGTGTGTGTGTGTGCGTGAGGGGGGGAAAGGGGGTGGGGGGGTGGGGAAGAGATTTTGTTTAATGCCAGGTGTGCTTATCATGCCTGGGGGAGCTCGCTGAGTGTAGTGCAGCACAAAGAGTGTTCCAGCTGTTGATGAGCATTTGACCTGAAGGCAGACAGCGTCACATGACAGCTCCTGCCAAAGCTAAAAGGTTTCCCTAACAAGCGATTTACCCCCTTCATGTCCCACTCTGCACACATGCCATTGTACAGGAGGGTAACCGATACCTGCAAGTGAATTACAAGGCGGAAATCCAATCAAGGAATTTACGTGGTGTCATAAACCAAGGGAGCAAAGCTCAAAGCATACATGTTAGTCACCTGAGTCTTAAAATGGGATTAGGGCCCTTGAATCACTTACACCGGCTTCTGTTGTGGTTGACGATATGTGCCAGAGATGTGACGGCCTTTTCACCCCAGATAGCTTTCTCCTTTACACAAGTCCACCGCAAATGGTGGACATTTCCCAGTGTTGGCAAAGTGAAGAAAAAAGCACGTACAGTCAGTCCAATGTGATGCAATATTGGCAACAGCTTCAGACAAGAGTGGACCACTGCTCCATACAGTGTATAAAGATCCCCTCAACACATTAATCGTTGGCTTGTGTGTTTATCAGGAGCTGAGTGGGAAAACTCGTGACTTATTTGCTTCTCCAAGTCCTGCCCACAAGCCAGGCTATCTGAACCATCATCAACAGTGTCTCGGAGTACCTGCCTGGCTCAGCTGCAGATTTCCGAGTCTGCCAGAAAAGAACAACTCAATTCGATTCTTTCAACAAAGCCCCAAAGTGGCCCTACTTATTTCCTCCAAGGAGGAAAGCCCCAAGGTAGTCATTAGACAACAACAAATGATAGTTACACAGCGCCTTTCACGTCGGGAGGACATCCCAAGACACTGGACAGTCAGGGATTTGGATCCAAGCAGGAAATTGGGATCAGGAGGGGTGGAGGGCAGGGAGGGTGGGGTTAGGAGGGTGATGGAAGATGCGGTCGAAGAGGAGGGTCTTGAGACATGGCTTGAAGGAGGCAAGGGAGGGAGCGAGGCAAAGGGATTGTGGGATGGAGTTCCAAAGGTAGGGCAGAGAGGCTGAAGGCTCAACAGCCAAAGTTAAAAATGTACTGCGTATAGGTTCACACTGAACAACCCCGCAGTGTTCTACTGTAGACAATTCAACAAAGGAATATGATGGATGGTCTGTCAGGGTTAATATCTCCCAAAGTCTTGTTGAGTCCTGCTCTGATCATCCCACCACCACATGCCTTGGGAGGAGACAGAGAGCGAGAGAGAGCGAGCAAAACAAATTGGAACCAAGGTTTGCAAAAGATATTTGCCATAATAAAAGATAGTTGTTAGTGGATTAGCAGATCGATTTTGCAGGGGTAATAATCCCTTCAAAATAAACAAACAAAATAATAATAATCGGATGAGATGCCTGTCTGTCTGTCTGTCTGTTCGTTCAGGGGGATATTAAAATCCCACGGCACTAGGTGAAAAGTGAATGGAGTTTCTCCTAATGTTGTTCCTTGTATAAGTTGATTATAGGATATAACATCATTGAAAGCATCAATCAGACCATCTCAATCAGGTCTCTGATCCACAC